AAATCAGTAATTCATGGATCATGTCATTAATTAGCTGTCTTCATCATAATTAGGTTGAAAGAAGTATATAATAAATACAGTATGTTTCAATCTCTACAGTGAACAAATAAGAATTGTTCAAACTGTAAGTAATTTAACACCATCTATTAAGGAGAAGTTTCATCCACCAAGCAAATACCTTTTACATACAGCAAGTAAACTAAAGTTTCTTGTAGAATACAAAAAGCTACTTATGACCGACTTTTGAGTTAGATTTCTTCATATATGAAATAGTTGCATATAAAGGTGGTTATTTGTGCTTGTGCAATTTCAACACTATAATACTAGAAAACTCAAACATTTCCTTAAATACTAACCTATACTAGTTACTGACAACCCAAATAATACAAACTAAAGAGTTCATTACATATTAGTAATACTTTATTGTACAATGCCAAATATGATCATGTGCACAACATCCTATATATTCATACAACTTCTAACCTGTTCAACAGTATTCACTGTAGTTTTGTTTTGTGAAATGTCTCTACAAGTAGATGGCACAAGTGCTCAGCTACCAAGAAGTAAATCAGTAGACCTCAAAACTCAACTGATTTCACCTTTCTTTGAGTTGGGGGGGGGGGGGGGGGTACATATGTTGTCAATATTGATGCTTTTATTTTAGATACTACTTACATCACTTACAGCAATACAAGTTAAACAATTATCTATAAAATTCAAGGAAAAGGATAAAGGTGACATTAGTTATTGACTCCTATTTGGCTAAGTACTTGTGATAAAATCTGTAAAGACAATTACAAACTAAACTCAGAGGGGGCATGACATGTGCACATATGCTATCCCAGCAGCAGGGGCTTAACGCTATTGCTGCCAGGAACAAGTTATGTCCACTGTAGTTTTGTTTAGTGAATTGTCTCAACAAGTGTTCAGTCATCAAGGAGCCAATTAATAGGCCTGCATGACCTCACCTGATTCCTTATTTCCTTGAGTTTTCAGGATTCTCCCTCCCCCCGTATGCTTTTACTAATGATACTATCATTACTGACATTATGACTATCAGAAAGTTATAAAAAAATAAAAAAATAAAAAAATAAAAAAATAAATAAATAAATAAAAATCAAAGAAAAGAGTAAACAAGCAAGGGAGGTCAGACTACTAACTGACATACTGGTGACTAACCAACTATGGAGCCATCTATTTGTATATACAAGAAACAGACAAACCTCACAGTGGACATGGCACATGTGTACATGCTCTCCCCATTGGTATTGGGTTAAGAAAGAAAATGCTGGTATGGTCTTCAATCTTCAGATAAATCATATTCACTGAACCTTCAAGTTTGAACTGAAATTGCTTTATCTTTGCTTCCAAGTCAGCATGTACTTACCCAATTTTAAGGATGCTATCGTTCTTTTTTGCATCAGCTGTCCACACACCAATCTTGTCACCCTTGCCTCTCACATTAACAACAGCTCCACACACTTCATCACTATGCTCTTCAAAAGATTCTCCAATCATTAGCAGCAGCTGCAAGATAGAAAGAAGTTATAATTGTTGGAGGTATTCTCAAAAAATTGTATATAACAATCCTCCCTGACCAGGCCTCAAACCTAGGTCACTCTGGGTATGAAACTGGAGGGCCAGTACTTAGCCAACCATGACATATGACCCACTATGAGGAGTGTGCAACTAGGATCTAACTAGCTCTATAGACATTACCTATCTACTCATACAGAGTAATGATAGCAAGGTTTTACATTCCCTGTGGGCACTCAGAGGAAATTGATTTATACCCAGAGTGATCTAGGTTCAAGGCCTGGTCAGGGAGGATTGTCATATCTATATCAAAGTGGCATTGCATTATTCCATCTTAAAAAATTATGTAAATGATAATTCTGGGCAATAATAATAATAATAACAATAATAATAATAATAATAGTACATATCAAAATGGAAAAATAACTACTTACCACCTCCATCCAAAAGTTGTCAAGTTCAGTGGATCTCTGTTGCTTGTTGAGATTAATAAGCCATCGACCTCCTCGGCAGTTGTGTGCATCTTCCCACATGGGTTTAATCCCTTGCTTGAACATTGAATAATCACAACCTACTTTCAATCGTGAAGCTGGTTCAATGTGGTTGTACAACCTACAAGACATTAAATTAAAAATGCTTAAGAACTAATTACAACAAATATAAAATATATATACCACCACAGTAAATCATTTCCCATGCTTATATCCTTTGATGTCAAAACAAGGACAATGCAAGAGTTTATACAAAAAACAGGCCAAATATAATTGGGAACTTACGCCCAGAAATCCTCAACTGTGTTGAAGCTAGCAATCTCAACTTGGCAATCTTCCCAACTGCGATTGTTTTCAATTTTGAAGAACCAGAGAGTCCAGGTGTTCTGTAGGGGATGTTTGATAAGCATATCTGGGGCAACCGTCTTCTGCCCTCCTTCCTCTTCACCCTTTTTCTGTTGTGATTTATCATTCTGTAATAGAAATAAATACAATGGGAACACTGAACAGTTAACCAGCAGTTACAGTAATATCAACTGGGGAACCAGACTTGGATGAGGCCTCAAGTTACTACAAGAAGCATCAAAATTGGCAAAACCATCAAAATATTTAAGAGAATGAACCTATTATGTCACTTACTATAATAGTAACATGTTTTATGTACAATTCTTTACCAACACATTGAGGTCACCAGGGAAATAAGAAGTACCTACCCTATGAACCCCCTCCTTTCCCCATCCCTTAATTTGACAGAAAAATAGCATATCTGCATCCCTTCTGCCTGCCATCTGCCTTGTCCTGACTATACTTCCAAGGTTCTCTTACTGCCTTTTCACCATTTATGTTGTGTCTTTAGATATGTGGCTCCTGACCTCAGTGGATCTTGATTTGTGAGGTTTTCCATAGGTCTTTCCAAATCCCTGTCTTCTGGCACATCACATTTTTTGCTCAGTCCTCTAGTAAGGTCAGTGACAAGGTTGATTTCATGCTGCATAGGCAAGGGGACAAGTGTTCATCATCAAAAGAAACCAACATGGCTGACAAAATAGGACTTCAACTGTCACAACCATGCAACACCTAGCCTGGAGTTCCACAAGGATTTGCTGCTGTCAGCTGTATTTATGAAAGCTTGGGAGAGGAATACTCCTGGTATGCTCATATTCTTCTGGGGGAAAAATAAACGAGTGTCCTGTGCCGCTTCCAATTCTCAGACACTCCTGAAGCCCCACCCGCTCCCATGGATGGAAAATTTACCTTAAGAAAAAAAAATTCCTCTGCTTTGAGAATAAAGATTCACATTTTAATTCTAATATTTCCATCAGCTAGACTTCTCTATCTTCTAAATAAGTAGATGCAGCAACAACCAGAGTGGGTGAACTGCTTATTTTAGCTACTAATGGGTATGTATCCAAAGCTGACCTTAAAGCACTACTTATCAATGGATCCCCAAATCTACACATATCATCCCAGATACCATACATTGGGATCAGTTTAACCAACATATCTGCAAACCGTGTATGAGGAAGTTGAGGCCAGTGATCTAAGTGGTCTAGTAGTAATGCTCAGCAATGTTCCCTCAGTCTCAACAGATTTCCATCAACAAGAGCATATGGAATTTACAGAAGCACTTTCAGACTGCTTCCTGCATTCTGTGCAAGCATGTTAGGTTCATGAACATCTGAAGGTATATAAGCTCTTTGTCAAGGGTTTGGACAACAACTGTGCCTTCTAAATTTATGTGGGACAGGAAAATGACTGCGTTGCTACATCCATGAAGGCAATCAGTGACTGACAACCCATTGTTGACAGGAAAATGTAGTGTTTACTTTATTTTGCTTTTGTGAAATGTCCTTCCACAGATCCACAAATTCTCAGCCACTAAGGATTTAATTAGTAGTCCTGATTTCTCCTTTCCTTTCCTTCCCTTTTTTATCTGTATACATGCTGCCATTTCTAATAGCAATACAAGGCAAAGAATATTTCCAAAAATCAAGGAATAGGGTTAAACAGGTGAGACAGATAGTACTTGTAATTGACTCCTTTATGACTAAGTACTTTTGAAGCCATCTATTTGTAAAGACAAACAGTGTGCAAAGCATGTGTATATAGGTTATCCTTGACGACATCAGGTCAAAGGAAATGGTATGAAAGGAGCGGATGTTTAACAAGCTGCCTATTCTTATCAGGTCTCTCACAATTTCATCAAGTGTTACATGGAGCTGTTTTACCTACTTCTGTGTCTAGTGTGACTTTGTCCCATCAAGTGTTTTCAAACGCATCACACACAACAGTCAGGTAAATGTGTGTGAATGGTTTTCTTTTTCTCTTTTTTAAATATTCTTATGCCTTTATGTATGTATTTGAAACAAACCTAGTTTCTCTAAAAATAAAACCTTTTTTTTTTTCCTTGCCTCAATTGTTTAACCCATTTGCGCTGGGTGTCACGTATACGTGATGGGCCCACTGAGTTTACTTGTTTAAATATATATATTATATATTGTACATATACATATTACATATTGTACATATATATATATTACATATTGTACATATATATATATTACATATTGTACATATATATATATATTACATATTGTACATATTGTACATATTGTACATATATATATATATATATATATATATATATATATTACATATTGTACATATATATATTACATATTGTACATATATATATTACATATTGTACATATATATATATATTACATATTGTACATATATATATATATATATATTACATATTGTACATATATATATATATATTACATATTGTACATATATATATATATATATATTACATATTGTACATATATATATATATATATATTACATATTGTACATATATATATATATATATATATATATATATATATATATATATATATATATATATATATTACATATTGTACATATATATATATATATATATATATATATATATATATATATATATAT